ACTGAGCCACCTGGCCAGGGCCCATGCGGGAAGATCTCTATGAAGCAGTTTCACATGTTAATGAAAATCGAGGTACATACAGAGTATATGCTAAGCTCTCTTTTGTGTAAGGAAGAAAGGAAAATGAAAACATAGGTACATATTCCTTAATGTTGTGGCAGGGAGGGAGGGAAGGAGGGAGGGAGGCTTAAAACACAGGAGAGAAAGGCAGACAGAGACGGAAGATGAACCAGAGACTGGAGGAGTGTGCAGGAAGGGACAGGGGGCTGTGAATGGGAGTGTGCCTTTTTTGATAGTTTTGACCTTTGAACTAGGTAAGAAATTTATATATTCACAAAATAAAATCAACGAATATAAATAAACCCTCAATCAAATATAAATAAAAACAAGTGAACCATATATCAAATTCACAACATGACCTCGAAGAGAAAAAAACAATGCAAGAAACTTTTGAAACCAGTGTCCCGTGCACCCTAAAAGGATGCTTTCTAGGGGGAAAGAGGGCTCCAAGGAAATCCTGAACTTTATTTAGTGGGTTTGTTATTGGCAGTAGCATCAATTTTTAAATGGTGAAACTGCTATTTGTGTATTGCAGTATAGAAGAAATGTGTAAATAGTATACTGAAATTGTTGGAAATCAGGACTGTTGGAGAAACAGAAATATAAGTATGGAATAAAAGAAAGTACAGATGAACTCTGTGGATTTATATGGGCGGTACTGGCATGGGTGGAGGCATCTATATGTAAAATTTCTTAGCTCTTTTCATTGAAAGGGCCTAGAAGCGTGACACCCAGTAGCTATGAACACACCTAGTTATGGCATCTTGAATGATAAATACAGTTCCCCACTAAAAGAGACTAGGATTTCTTGAAGAACGAAATTCCAGGGTTAAGGCAAAGAAAGTGAAAGGTGAGCCTGAAACATCTTGTGCCACAAAGCAAGGAAGCACTCAAAGGCATATGGGGATGTGTCCAAAGGACGCAAGAGCTGTCTTCTCCCACTGCATAAACTTTGGATAATTTGAGCATCAAACAGAATAATGACAGTAAGGAATTATAACCCAGTGAATTTTTTAAAAAAAGAATCTGAGTCCATAGATATACTCAAAATATAAGGTAAGAAGAAGGAACAGCTTTCTTTACAGAGGAATGCCAGCTAATAAATACAGAAAAAAATAATAGAATCTTTAAAATCACCACTTTCAATTCCTAATAGAATAAGAGACCCAGGCAGAAATCCTCCACTGATAATCCTAAAGGTGTTGCACAACAGGATGCTCACAGGGTCTCAAGATTACCCACACTAATCACACGAGGAAAGGGCTGTACACAGGGGCGGTGGACACCCCTTGCCCACCCAATCAAACCCCCAGGGCCAGCAGTGGGCAAACCTGCCTATGGACATATCTATCAAGTGGTTTGAAATCCTGCCAAACATGTTTCACTCAGATCTAATCAGGAGGAATCAAACAAAAGCT